ATTCGTTAGGGATCCTCAGAAATGCTTCCAAATCTTGATACTATTATCATTGCATGAACTTTCTAAGCAGCAAGCGACATCCTGAGTCTTTCATGAGAGCCACGCAGATTTGAATTTCGAATTCCGATCTTGGCCCAGGGGCCAGGCCGCCGCGAATTTGTTTTGTGTCCGGGTGCTAAAGCTATCGTTCGGTTATTTCGGCCCCTCGGAATATCGAATAAAAAATGCGGTGCTACGATATCGCCGGGGGGTTCTTGAATGCTTCCTGGGCAAAAGTCGCGCTACCATAACCAGCGCCGAGCAAGGTGCGAAGACCTGCCTGGCCCCCCAAGAACGCCTGAATGCACGAGGAGCGCTAGAGGAGCAGACACGGAAGGACCTAGGTAACATCGAGGAATTTCTGACCCAGGTCAATCCAGGCCCAGGTCGGCAGGAAATCCAAAAAACTGCAATGCAGGAACAACAAAAACTGCAACACAGGTCTTCGCAAACCCGGGTCAGCCAATAGGCGCGGCCGCCTCGCGGCCACGAGCGGCTCGCTAACCCGGGTCAGCCAGAGGGGGTCTTCGCAAGATCTGGTGCCCTGGCCGACCCCCGTTTGCATTGACCCCCGTCTCAAGGCTCCCGGTAACAGCGAAGTGAGCGTTTTCTTGTCCGGCGTTTCGACATCGGGCGGAAGGGGGGGGAGGGGGGCGTCTGGCTTCGGACCTCTGCTGAATGCCACTGTTTGCAGCAGTGCGTCCCATGGGGGAGGCTCCGCCGGCTCGAAACGGGCGCCCCCAGACAGCCAAGATCTACTCCAGGGGGAGGGGGAGGGGGGAGGGGGGGGGCGAGGGCCCGCGCCGATCGGCAAAGCGACGAATCTAGGGGAGCAAAAAGTGACATAAACATAACAACTCGGCGCTGGACCCCCCTCCCTGGCGCGCGGAGCGCGCCAGGGGCGGCGCCAGAGGCGCCGCCCGGGGGGTCCAGCGCCGATCCGAGAAACCCGCGCGGAACACCGAGTTTTATGTTTGTGTCACTTTTTGTTCCCCTAGAGTCAGAACACGATCACGAGCCCAGTCCGAACTCGACCTGTTCCCAGTTCTCGGAAGTTTTGGCTGTATCAAGGCGACCCTTGAAGGCCGCGGACCCACTGCTCACGGGCGCGCGCTCTCCGGGGCCGCCGCGGGCTCCCGGGGGCTCGTAGAGCGTCACCTTTTCCGAGGCGCGGGCTCCGTCGTGTGGTCTGATGGGCCCCATTTTCCACCACCACTGCCACAAATAGGAGAGGGAGGAGGAGGAGGAGGAGGAGGAGGAGGAGGAGGAGGAGGAGGAGGAGGAGGAGGAGGAGGAGGAGGAGGAGGAGGAGAGGGATCTCCTCATCATCCCTTCTCCCCCGTCCCACATGTGGTAGTGGTGGTGGAACATTTGCCCATCATGGTCAGGAATCGAGGCCCTCAGTATGACCTGGTAGGGGCCCTCTTGAACGTCTCTTCGGCGCTCTTGGGGGGCTGGCTCAAGAGACCAGCATCAGATGCCTTACAAGTGTCTTGCATGATGCCATCATCCTCGCGTTTTCGGCCCCAGAAGCGGCCAAGGCGCCCCACGAGGCACCCAGGATCGGCCCAAGACAGCCCACGAGGCCCCGAAGAGGTGCCCAAGACAGCTCCCAAACAGCCCTAAATGCCGCTCAAAGTGGCACCGTGAGCGGACCCTTGGAACATGCTTCGGAACCTGGCCCCTCATCCCCCCCAAGATTTGGCATGCCATGCAGCTGATTGGTCAGCAGTGAAAGGGCCCCTAACCCTTTGGGAGGGGACCTGAGTTGGGGGGGCCAGAAACATTAGGGACCGGATGTCTTTTCTGCAGATGCATCGAACCAGACCGCCCCGATCCATGACCCCTGATGCAAAGACGGGGGCCTGAGTGAGGCCACGCCTTCGCTGTGCTATCAGGGTTACGGGCCTCTTTGATCCTCGATGATGATGGTGCAGACTCTCTGCGACAGTTGCTGGCAGGCCCGTCGCGCGAGCGGCGCGCGGCGGCCAAACGCTTCTGCTCTGCTGCGCCGGCAGGAGCCCAGCGCCGCGCACTCTCCCAGGCCAGCAGCGCCACTGCGCCCCGGACGTGGGCGGCGCGCCCTCCCTCCCTCTCTCTCTCTTCCCACCCCGAGGCGGCCCCCCAGGTGGCCCTCTCTCTTTCTCTCTCTCTCTCTCTCTCTCTCTCTTTCTTCCCCCCCCGAGGTGGCCCTCAGCGCTCCGCAGGCCTACCTTCCCCCCCCCCCCCCAAAAAAAAAAACGCGAACTCCCGCACGCGGAGGCCCTCCCCTGCCTCCAGCCCCCCTCGCAGAGGCCCCCAAAGACGACCGGCAGCAAGGCGAAGCGCAGCTCTCACGGCCAGTGGGTGACCAGAAGGCCATTCGCGCGAACGCCTCTTCGCCCCGAGCGGGGCGACGGAGACCAGCAGCACGACCACCAGATGAAACAGCACGCGCAAATTTGCGGTCAGGCACTGCTGCTCAGCGTGGCCGCGGCGGCCCCGCGCGACGCGCCGTGCCCTGATGTGCCCTGCGGGCGGCTGGCGCGTCGAGCCGCTCCGCGGGGCGGGAGGCTCGGAGAGGCTCGCGAGGCGCCGACGCCGGGGGAGCGGGAACTGCCTGGCATCCACGCCGAAACGCCTCCGGAGCCCAGGAGACCCGAGGAAGGGCGCCTGCAACGGAGGGCGGCGCGGGAGCCAAGGGAACGGCGCCACAGGCAGAAGGCTCCCCGCCCGTCCCGAGGTGCGGAGGCACCAGCGGACCCACATCCGCACCCACATCCGCTACGTGCTGGGGGAGGGGCCTCCTCCTCCTCCCCCCCCTCCTCCTCCTCCTCCTCCTCCTCCTCCTCCTCCTCCTCCTCCCCTCCTCCTCCTCCTCCTCCCTCCTCCTTCCCTCCTCCTCTCGCTCCTCGTCCTTCCTCCTCCTCCTCCTCCTCTCATCTCCTCATCCTCATCCTCATCCTCATCCTCATCCTCATCCATCATCCTCATCCTCATCCTCATCCTCATCCTCATCCTCATCATCCCATCATCCTCATCCTCATCCTCATCATCATCATCTCACTCATCATCATCATCATCATCATCACATCATCATCATCATCATCATCATCATCATCATCATCATCATCATCATCATCATCATCATCATCATCACTCCCTCCTCATCCTCCTCCTCCTCCTCCTCCCTCCTCCTCCCCCTCACCCTCACCCTCACCTCCTCACTCCTCCTCCTCCTCCTCCTCCTCCTCCTCCTCCTCCTCCTCCTCCTCCTCACTCCTCCTCTTCTTCGTCCTCCTCTGCCTCCTCTTCCTCCTCCTCCTTCTCCTCTGTAGCGTGTCGCGCCGAAGGATGGTGGACCAGCACCGGCGGAGCGACACGCCAACCAAAAGTTCCCGACCGTTGACTTTCGAGGGTCCGCGGACTTCTTGGGTCGGCGCCGGACACTCTCCTCCCTGGCGCGCGGAGCGCGCTATGGGGCGGCGCCTGAGGCGCCGCCAGTGGGACCAGCGCAGATCCCAGAAATCCGCGCGGGCCTTCGAGCGTTTCTGATCATGCTGCTTGTTCCTCTTCTGTTCTCGGCCTCTCGGGGCTTCGTGAGGACCTCATGGGGGGGAGGGGGCACACGAGGGCCGTCGAGAAACTGCGCACGTTTGTGCAGGCAGCATGTTTTGTTTGTCCGAGAGAGGGCCGCACGCCCCAAGCAACCGCACAATATTTCCAACGATGCTCCGAGGATCCCTCTGGTGGAAGCCCTCTCAAGGAACCCGGCCTGGAACATGCCGCAGCTAGTCCACAAAAAACCTTCCACAAGAAACTCAACCCTGAGACCCCAGGACGTCCACTTGTTTTTGGGGGTGGGAACGTCACGCCGTCCACCTCAAAGCCATCGAAGCCCAAGAAGCCCAGGGAGACACCCTGGAGGCGGGCGGGGTGTCTCTTGGCACGGGCCTCCACTGCAACACGGATCACCGCGGAGGTTGGGGCCCCCTCAAGACCGTCTCTGCCAGCCTCGACGTGGAGGAGGGAGAAGGGAGGAGAGAGGAGGGAGGAGGGACGAGAGAGCAGGGAGGAGGGGGGAGGGAGGAGAGAGGAAGCAGGAACGAGGGAAAAGCACCTCCCCGCAGCACGAGGCCCGTGCCGCCCGACCTGGCGACGCACCGCGCCGATGCGGTAAAGGACGCGAGGCCCGCCACCAGTCCACGCACCCTGATCCGTGGCTGCGGCTCCTCTCGAGTGGGGGTGAGCCGAGGGCCGCTGGACCTGACGCCCCCTAACTCCACAGGGGTGCTGGGCGTGCTGGATGAAGAGCGATAAAGAAAGAAAGAGTCCTCCTCCCTCCTCCTCCTCCTCCTCCAGAGAGAGAGGAAAAGAAACAACAAAAACAAATCAGTTTGGATCCGTGAGCCTCTACACAGGCCTTGCGGCCCATCCCGCTGGCCCTTTCCTCGACCCGAATCGCTGGGACGGCCCAAGAGGGTGCTGGACAGCGCCCAGACAGACGATAGCTCCTGACGACGGCCCGCCAATTGCTCCATGAGGCCTCCAAGATGGCCTTGGACGCCCCAAAGCGCCCCAGCAGGGCCCTCAGACGACCGAACGCGCTGGAGAAGCTTGCATTTCCTCGGATTGTGTGATGCGGGTTGGCTTCCAAAGTCGTCGGCCCAAGATGGCCGCTGGAGGACGTCTTGGAGCACAAGGGTGCCGAAGAGGTTGTGACGAGGGCCCCGAGGAGCTGCGCACAAGACGGCCAGGGACGGCCTCGCGAGGGCCTCTCTCGACGGCCCAGGTGGCCTCTGGCGGAGCCCAGAAGGCGGGCCCCACAGGGAGCCAAGGGATAGGTCCCCGAGAAGGCCGAAGAGGCCCCGGGACCAGCTCACGATGCCCCTAGGGCGCCGAGCATACTCATCCCGAGGCCTCCAGGAGGGCCTGCTCTTTGCGGCCGCAAAAAGGGGGCGGCGGCGACTCGTTAGAGGCGCCTTCGATAGCTTCGTGTCGCGAGTGTCGTGCAAGTACACGTGCCCCCTGTTCAGCATCGGAGGCGCCACGCAGAGCGACTTGCCGCCGCTGCCGGCACAAAAATCCAGCACGTGTTGCCCGGGCTTCGCGTCCACCTGCTGCGCGATCAATTGGGAGGACTCGTCCTGAATCTCAATGTATCCGAGCTTGTACTCGGGGAGGTCCAACAACTTTTGCTTCGAGGACAGCATCAGCCCCGACTTGGAACTCACCGTCTTCTCAACAGCCACAGACTTTGCCAGCAAAAATGAGAACACCTTGTCCCGCGATATCTTCAAAGTGTTGACGCGCAGAAAAGTAAGTGGAGGCTCGTTCAGCACGTTGGAGACCTTGATCGCAGCTTTCGTACCAAGAGAACCCTCCATGCGCGCGAAGAGCTCCTTGGGGAAGGAGCACCTGACATTGTGTGGCAGCTTGTCATTCTGCGTCTGCGAGCGCCATCGGTCGTTCAGGAAAAACGTCCTCATCCTGTTCGCCCAGCTGTGTGGCTGCGGCGTCAAGTGGTCCAGTAAGCCGCGCCATCTGTATAGCTCGTAGGTTTTCTCCGAGATCCAGGCTCGGTCGGCCGAGTCGAGGAACTTGTGCGCCTGGAAATACCGCCGCAGGAACAGGTCCAAGGGCAAATTCGGCGTCTCACCGCGCCTGGCCTGGCCGAACGACGACGACCTCGAACGTCTCATTCGACGACGAGGGCGTCGTCGTCGTCCTCGTCGAATCACTCATTCGTCGACACTGCCCTCGACTGGCCTGGTCGAGCCGTATCAGCGCGCTCTCCACGTGGCGCACCCTGGTGGCGTTCATGCCATGCCGACAGCGCCGCGGCAGCGGAGAGGAGAGGGGAGCACAGGCGCGGAGGGAGGTAAGGGAGGATGCTGGGCAGAAGAGAAAGGAGGAAGGGCTGAGAGAGAGGAGGAATGGCCGAAGAGAGATGACGCGGGCGAGGAATAAGAAGAGGATGGAGGGGGGGCAGGACATCCCCAAAATGCGCACGCCACTTATGACGCAACAAAGACGATCATACCTAAGAGAGAAGAACATCCTCCAAGAACATGAGACCCTCCGCCAGCCAAAACACACAGAACATCCTAGGTTACCGCCCCCAAGATGCACAAGAGCCCTCGATCTTATACCTCGCTCCGACTGTACAACACGTACCCTCCGGTCTCGAATCTCCTCTTCAGAGGCCAATGCAGATCTTCGGCTTCGCTGCCGCGAACGCCCGCCAGAAAGGCGAGGGTCCCGTGGGTCCCATGGGCCTGGCGCGGGTTAAAAGCTCCTCCTCGTCGTTCTCCTCCTCCTCCTCCTCCTCCTCCTCCTCCTCCTCCTCCTCCTCCTCCTCCTCCTCTGGGGGGTGGGGGAGTTGGCACGAAGGAAGCGGGTCCTGAGGGAAAGATGCCCTATGGTGTCCTGAATCATGGGGACGTTCCCCAAGACGAATCCCACCAGCCCTCTGGGCATGAGTGGTTTAGAGCGTTTCCTCTTACAACCCCCTCCTCTTCTCCTTCGGAGAGGGGTTCACCCCTCCCCCTACCCCCTACCGAGGCGATGAAGCGTCCAAGGTGGCCTCGGCGAAGAAACCAAACTCATTGGTTTGTTGTACTAAAGTTTTGGCAACGTATTGGCCTCCTGGGGGGGATGTCTAATTGGGGAACTGCCATCCTTGGATCGACCTCCTCCAAGATGGCCCCAAGATGGCCCCCGAGGCTCCCAAGGATGCCCCAAGAGGGCCCCAAAAGGTGCGGGGAGCGCTTGTCCCTCAACTCTTTTTTGTTGCCCCTCGGGGCGTTTTTGCTTTCTTTGTTTCGCTCGTGCGCCTTTTTCTCCTCTCGGCGCCGTTCCCTTTTCCCTCGGCGTTTTTTTTTTTTCCCCCTCGGGGGGTGGGGGGGGGGGGGAGGGCGGTGGGGGGGGCTGACCCAGGCGCAGGGCCGGAGCTCGAGACCTCGTAGCCCTAGCGCTCCCAGGCTTCCAGCGCCTCCCCCTGAAATCACCCCGAGATGCCCCGAGAGGGCCGCAGCTTCGTGTTGTTCCGCTCCATGGGCGGGCGGCAGGGAAGAGGGCGAGGCGGAGAAGCCTGGCGGGCGCGCCAGCTCGGTCTGGGCCCACTGGGGCGCCAATCTGACGGCCCAACGGACAAGAGGCGTGCGAGGATGATTTCCCGTAGTCATGTTTGGATATGTTTGATTCGCGCGCGCGCGTGGCGGCCCCTGGGTAAAGCCCCAGATGCGAAACATTGTGACGGGTCCGCTTCCGACGCACTCCGTGGTGCCAGCGTTGTTGCAAGGAAGCCCATTCCGAGCAAGTCGGCTCGCGACAAATGGACGATTATCGCACACGCCAGCGAATATCTCCGAACAAATACACGAAAATGAAACGTCAACGAAAATCGAACGTCGACTAATCGATGAGAAAGTAAAACAAATCGAGTGTCGAGGAAGATCAGCAAAACATAACGAAAATCAGCAAATAATGAAAGAACACTGAATTTGTTGGCCCAGCGGACAAGAGGCGTGCGAAAATGATCTCCGGTAAGAGTTTTTGCCCACTGGGGCTCCAATTTGCAGGCCCAGCGGACCAGAAGCGTGCGGAGATGACTCAAAAGGCCTCTGCGATGGTCATCAAACGACTCCAGGACGGCGAACATGGCCCCAAGAGTGCCCCAAATGAGTCCGAAATGCCCACAAGTCGCCCCCCCTTCGCCTCCCTGGGGCTGGTCCTTCACCCCGTGCCGTCTTCCGACGACCACTGGGCCCAGTCAGGCCCCCCCAGAAACCATGAACGGCGAAAAACCTCCCGTCGTAAAACAAATGGAGAGAGGATCTGGTTTTCGGTCGGGGACCTACTGACCCTGGTCAATCCAGATGCGGGTCAGCCTAGCTTTACAAGATCATGCAAGATCCTGCAGGATCCCTGCAAGATCCTGCACCCAAGCCCGGGTCAATGCAACCCTGGCTCTGCAGGATCCTGCAAGATCCGGCACTCTGACTGAACACCGTTTGCATTGACCACCGTCTCTTGAGCCCCGATTCGGAACATAACTCGGGTCTCCGACGGCCGTTCAGGACGATTCACGATTTCGGCGAGGCGCAGCTGCTGAAGCACCCTGAGGCTGGAAAACCCGCACGAACCCACGAAGGTCAGATGTCGCGGGTATGTCAAGGAGAGGAGAGAAGAAAGGGAGGAGCCCAGAAGGAGGAAGGGCGATCGCGGGGGAAGTTCGGGCCAAATTGGACGGGCGCGCGCGCCCGCGCGCGCGGGCACCAGGACGTCAGGCTGTCCGCGGGCGACTGCGGCTCCTCCTCCTCCTTCTCCTCCTCGTCCTGCTCCTGCTCCTCCTCCATGGGGGCAGCAGGAGATACAGGAGATAGAGGAGAAGGAGGGGCAGGAGGGGGCAAGGCGAAGGCAGAATGGCGACACATTCGGACGAGAATGAATCGGGAATCTCTGTGAGCCTGCGTGTCTGGCGGGTGTATCAGGCGCCACGGCCATTTCAGAGCGCTCCAGAACGCTCTGGGAACGTTCCAGACCGCTCTGGAAGGAGATGGAGACTGATGAAAGACAGGGCAAAGCAGGATGAGGTGGTGGACGAGGGAAAGAGGAAGGGAGGGAGGGAGGGAGGGGGGAAGGGGAGGAGGAGATGGAGTAATAGAGAAGAGGCCTCTCGGCCCCCCTTCCCCCTATCCATCTCTCCCCCTTCCCATACATCCCCCCTTCTTCAAATCCCCATCTCCGCCGCGCCCTCTCTTTACTGCTCCTGCTGTTGCTCATCCTCGTCCTCCATTTCCACCTCTCCACCTCACTCTCGCCTCCAAGCACCATGACCCCATACGCGTGACCCCGTGCATCGACGACGTGGCGTCGCGACAAAAACAAAAAACAATATGATGGCAAGCAGGCGGAGTAAATCGCACGCCAAGACGGGGCACAGAAACGTGTGATAGTGATAAACGTACTTCGTAGCAGGTAGTAGTAGTAGTAGTAGTAGTAGTAGTAGTAGTAGTAGTAGTAGTAGTAGTAGTAGTAGTAGTAGTAGTAGTAGTAGTAGTAGTAGTAGTAGTAGTAGTAGTAGTAGTAGTAGTAGGTAGTAGTAGTAGTAGTAGTAGTAGTAGTAGTAGTAGTAGTAGTAGTAGTAGTAGTAGTAGTAGTAGTAGTAGTAGTAGTAGTAGTAGTCGTAGTAGTAGTAGTAGTAGTAGTAGTAGTAGTAGTCGTAGTAGTACCTAGTTTGAACAAAAAACCAAAACAAGGAACAAAAAAAAAAAAAATTGGAGTTTTCTGTGGACTCACGTCCATCCCTCCCCCCGGCGCGAAGGAGCACTAGCCCAGAGCGCCTCCCGCACCGTTTCCGGACCCTTCCGTGATCCGGTGACGAATCCCAAACCGGCGCCCTCGTTTGAGACATCCTCACAAAACCGGCCCCGGGGGAGGTGCCCAGAGGAGCCCAGAGCGGCCTCCGGCACCGGTTCCGGACAGATCCGGTGGATCCGGTGACGAATCCCAAACCGGCGCCCTCGCTTGAGACATCCTCACAAAACCGGCCCCGGGGGAGGTGCCCAGAGGAGCCCAGAGCGGCCTCCGGCACCGTTTCCGGACAGATCCGGTGGATCCGCTGGATCCGGTGACGAATCCCAAACCGGCGCCCTCGCTTGAGACATCCTCACACAACCGGCTCCGGGGGAGGTGCCCAGAGGAGCCCAGAGCGGCCTCCGGCACCGTTTCCGGACAGATCCGGTGGATCCGCTGGATCCGGTGACGAATCCCAAACCGGCGCCCTCGCTTGAGACATCCTCACAAAACCGGCCCCGGGGGAGGTGCCCAGAGGAGCCCAGAGCGGCCTCCGGCACCGTTTCCGGACAGATCCGGTGGATCCGGTGACGAATCCAAAACCGGCGCCCTCGCTTGAGACATCCTCACAAAACCGGCCCCGGGGGAGGTGCCCAGAGGAGCCCAGAGCGATCCGCCGACGAATCCCAAACCGGCGCCCTCGCTTGAGACATCCTCACAAAACCGGCCCCGGGGGAGGTGCCCAGAGGCGCCCAGAGCGGCCTCCGGCACCGTTTCCGGACAGATCCGGTGGATCCGGTGACGAATCCCAAACCGGCGCCCTCGCTTAAGACATCCTCACAACACCGGCCCCGGGGGAGGTGCCCATTGGAGCCCAGAGCGGCCTCCGGCACCGTTTCCGGACAGATCCGGTGGATCCGGTGACGAATCCCAAACCGGCGCCCTCGCTTGAGACATCCTCACAAACCGTCCCCACGGGGTAGGTGGCCCTTCGAGCCCAGAGCGGCCTTCCGGACGGCGTTTCCGGACAGATCCTCGCCCTCGCCTGAGACATCCTCACAAAACGGGCCCCGGGGGGGATGCCCAGAGGAGCCCAGTGCGGCCTCCGGCACCGGTTCCGGACGGATCCGCTGGATCCGCTGGATCCGGTGACGAATCCCAAACCGGCGCCCTCGCTTGAGACATCCTCACAAACCCGGCCCCGGGGGAGGTGCCCAGAGGAGCCCAGAGCGGCCTCCGGCACCGTTTCCGGACAGATCCGGTGGATCCGCTGGATCCGGTGACGAATCCCAAACCGGCGCCCTCGCTTGAGACATCCTCACAAAACGGGCCCCGGGGGAGGTGCCCAGAGGAGCCCAGAGCGGCCTCCGGCACGTTTCCGGACAGATCCGGTGGATCCGGTGACGAATCCCAAACCGGCGCCCTCGCTTGAGACATCCTCACAAAACCGGCCCCGGGGGAGGTGCCCAGAGGAGCCCAGAGCGGCTCCGGCACCGTTTCCGGACAGATCCGCTGGATCCGGT